TGGCATCCAGCTGGGGCTGGGCCGTCCAGCTCTGCTCCTGGGGGGCAGCAGCATCAGCCCCTGAGGGCAGGGATGTGCCCAGATCAGAGCACCCGCCTCCCAGCCTGGAAGGTTCCCGGGGAGACCTCGGCCAGCAGCCCCCCCTCCGGGGAGGTGACAGGGAGGAGGGTCCCGACCCCCAGAAGCTCTGGGGAGTAGGAGGAAGGGGCACTTCTCTGTACAGCCCCCCCCCCATGGCACCCCCACCTGCATGTGAGCTTTGAGCTGGCGGTACAGGTCACCCTGGCCTTCTCCAGCTGGTTCTCCAGCCTGCGCAGGGCCTGGGCGGGAGAGGGACGGCACCGAATCACCCACCCGCTCATCAGGACGTGGGGAGTCCCCCCAGGTGGCTGTTCCCAGGAGCCCGGCGTGAGCTGAACTGAGCCCCCGATCGGGCTGTCCGGGACCGACTGTGCTGCAAACAGCACCTGCCCGGCCGACAGGCAGGAGCCAGCGCCGAAGGGGTTCCGGCCTAGCCTTGTGCCATCCCGGAGCCCAGCACCCTCCTGTCGCGCCCTCACGCCCCTCGCCAGGGTCTGTTTGATCCCAGAATTCCCCCTGCTTTGGGAACAGGCATCCCGTGTGCTTGGCAGAAGCTGTGCCTTTGGGAGGGGCCAGAGCTGCTCCCCAGACACCTGGCAATGTGGGGCAGGGCTGGAGGGGTAGGAACACCCTTTCAGAAGTGCCCTTGCTGCCTGGGCCCAGGGCTGCTCAGCAGCAGATGACGCCTGTGTTTGCCTTGGGGAGAGGAGAGGGGTTGGCTTCCATTACCTCTCCCAGAGGCTCATGGGAAGGAGGCTCTGGCTTGGCATTCCGGAGACCAGGGTTCTAGCCTGGGCTCAGCTACGTCCCTGCTCCGTGCCTCGGTTTCCCCATGATTCTGACCCTGCTTGGGAAGCATGGGAGGAACTGGGACAAGGCCCGTGTCAGCAGGGGGGTGAGTCTGCCATGGCGGCCAGGCTCAGCGATCAGACTCCAGCAGCCTTCGTGGCCTCCCCAGCATCACACTAGAGACATGGGGGGGGCGAGGCAAGGACCAGGAGAGGTCAGCAAGCAGCAGGATGGGCAGAGCCCGAGGGCACCAGCTGCTCAGCCAACAAAACTGCCAACGGTTAGCGACCCGCCCCTCCCAATGGGGCTACAGCTGGCGTCTTAAACTCCCTGCCCACCTTGCTCCTCTTGAGCATTAGCTGGGCCAGAGATACCGTAATACACCTACTATTAGTGCACAGAGCCTGGCACAATGGGCTCCTGAGCCACAGCTGAGCTCTAGGGCACTACCGTAATACACCTAATAAACCACGACCAGCATGCAGCACAGACATGAACCTGCCCCATTGGCTAAAGCGCTGGGTGTGGAGTGTGAGCGCTGCCCGGTGTGCAGGGGTCAGCCTGAGCCTCCCCACCTGCTCCCCAAACGCCCCTCTCACCTTGGCTGCCTCTGTGTCACCTTCTTCTACCTCCTGGAAACCCCGGGCCTCCTGCAGCTTGGACCCCCTGCAGCCGCTTCCTCACCTCCACCTGGTGCTTCAGGTCGTTCAGCCGGTTGATCTTCTCGCAGAGCCGGTGGTTGATGAACTCGATGGCGCCCTCGGGAGGGGAGAGGAGGGACAGGGCCAATCGTACAGGCCAGGGGTTTTCCTGGGCAGCCGCTCGGCTCGATGGCTCGGGCTGGGGCCTCACTGAAATCTCCCACCCACACTGCGCCCACAGCTTGAATCTGCCCTTCCCTGGGGACCAGAAGAGCTGGGCTCATCCCCCTCCCCCGAACCCCATGGCTTTTTCAGACACTACTGCCTAGTCACCTGCCCTCTAGCCCAACCTACAGACCACGGTCATCTCAGCCCTGGGCTCCCCTCATTCCCAACCCACAGCCCCTGGCACCCCAGCTCTGGGCTCCCCACATGCAGCTCTCCCTGTGCCCCTCAGTCCCAATCTGCAGCCCTTGCGCCCCACTGTTTATGCCCTGATGTTTCCCCCCCCCCCCTCTAGAAAGGCGGGCCTGGAGACTGCACGTCCGTAGCCACAAACGGCTTGGCTGGCACATGCACAGCACAAAGCCCCCCCGGCGTACCTCTCCACTTTTATTTTTCAGGGAAGCCTTCTCGGCAGCCCGGTCCCGGAACACCTCCTGTATGATCTGCTCATCGCCCTGCAGAACACGAGAGGGCTGCTGTCAGCTCAGGCAGGGCCCCCCCGACCAGGTGACACTTCACGTCGATCTGTGCAGCAGACGTCCCGGCTCCTGGATACGCCTGCCCCGGCCGCTCAGACACATGCTCCATCCCGCTGACCAATGTGGTCTCCTGTTTCTCTTGTGCCTCCCCAGCTGCCTGCCTGTTCCCCCCACCCCCCCAGATCCCCATCAGCTCCTGTTTGATGGTCTCTTTGTTCTGTGGTTGTGCATGGCTGGGGCACCTGGGTGCTACCGTAATACACCTAAGAAATAATGTACAGCACCTGGCACTTTGGGTCGCTGGGCCATGGCTGGGGCTCCTAGGCCCAGCTGTAATACACCTACTAACTTACAGTGCCTGGTACACCCTCACCTGCACACCCCACACACTTCCCTGCATCCTCCTATACCCCTCACTCATCCTCACACCCACATACACCTCCCCCCCACACCACCTGGTGTCTCCCGCACCTGCGCACCCCAATACACCCTGCCACATGCTAGTAAGACTCCCGCCCGCCCCGCCACATAAACCCCTCAACACTGGGCCCGATCAAGAGCTGAACCATCTTGGGGGAGAGGGGAGGCTGCAGCTGCTGCTCTCCGGCTCAGGAGCAACTGACGTGCCCCCTGAAGGGAGCGAGGCCACGCAGGGTGGTGTGGTGCTCCCTGCTGTCCCCCTCCCAGGGGCTGCTCACCGCTACGAAGGCCGCCAGCTTCTTGTGCAGCTTCTTGTTCTCCTGCCGCAGCCACAGGATGGACTCCTTGTTCTTCTTGATGGTCCACTGGGAGCTCTCATAGAAAGCCTTCCGGTCGCCCTCTGCCAAGGGTGCAAAACAGCCCCGCAGCGGGGAGGTGCTAAGACAGGCAGCGGGGACACGGCTGGCCAGCTCCTTGGCTCTCGCTGGCACGGCCAGGATCAGATGGGACGCCCCGGGGGACATGCTCTCCCCTCTGGGCCAGCAAAAGCCACAGCCCCTAGGGGGCGCTTAGCAGCCAGATGACCAGCAGCTGAGCTGGAGAAAAGCCAGCCCATAGGAGGGCTTCTCTGAATTCCTCCTTTGGGCCATGAGCTCTGAGGCCTGGGGGACACGCATGGGAAATACAAGGTCCACACAGCTCATCACACAGGCTCTGAGAGCAAACAGCTTCAGAGGAAAGCTCAGGAAACCCTCCTCAACAGCAGATGAGGAATAACATCTCCCAGCCCACCCCGAGATCTGTGATGATTTAGCTGGGATTGGTCCTGCTTTGGGCAGGGGGCTGGACTCGATGACTCCTGAGGTCTCTTCCAGCCCTGGGATTCTATGATCTTCTCTGGTCTCTAAGAGCTTGAGTCCAGCTGGGCTCTATCCCTTCCGATGCTCTTTGTTAGCACGAACTGTTCTAGCTCTGAATCTTCTTATCCACAACCAGTCCCTCTTCTAATCCTGCTGTTTGCCATCCAGCGGCAGGGAGTTCCAGTGTCTATAGATGCTGTGAGCAAAGCACCTCTGCTCAATTTGTCGCCTCTATCTACTCCTAGAGGATGGAGCACTGGACTGGGACCTCAGAGACCAGGGTTCTCTTCCTCACTCTGCAGCTGGGCAACCCCACGGAAGCCTCGGCCCTGCTGTGCCTCAGTTTCCCCTTCTGTAAAATGGTACTGACCACCTTTAAATGGATTTGTGCTTGAAGGATGAGAAGCACTACGTGACCTAGGGACTATTATTTCCCAACATCCCCTGGGATTGGATTTTGCTGTGTCAAAAGCTGTTGCCAGAGGGAAGAATTTAACTCTCTGCACCCCACGCTATGACCTGGCTTAACAGCGCACTGCAGGCAGCTTGAGCTGAGATGGAAGCACCAGTGCAGATGGAGATCCACATGTGGGGCCCTCCCCGCTTTCTGAATGCTGACACCCCGCAGCCTTTTCTGGCCTGCGCCCAAGACAAAGGCCCCCTCCACCTCCCACGTTGCTGAGGAACAGCTACATACCTAGGAGCTGTATCTTATTCTGCATCTCTGAGATCTGCTCGTGGACTGGGGGCTTCACCCCAGCAGGGCCCAGGGTTGCAGGCATGGCGACAGCAGCCCCCTGGCTCTAGGGAGGAACCGGAGAGCAGAGAGGCAAGGCACAGAGGCAAGCTCGGGCTGTCAGAGGAGCAACCTGGGCAGGGAGGGGGACACCTTAGAGTGGATGGGGGCACCCTGGAGCAGCTGGGGGCACTCTGGGCAGGGAGGGGGGCACTCCG